CAGAAAGTAGGGAAACTTGGATCTAGCCTTAAGAGAAATACAGACAGAATCGCTCAGCTGTGTCCTCAGAGAGACGAGCCCCGGAAGGCCTGTGCAGGGACCCCACTCGTCTCCAGGGCGGGGCGGGGGCGGGCAGCCAGGCAGGTGGCAGCGTAGCAATGGGGCCGGTAGCCCATGCTCAGCCTACACCGTGCCGAACCAGCTAACGATGCCCACGACTACAAGGGAATAAGACAAACCCGAGACACAGCAGCGCACACACCTGGAGAAAAGGACGGAGCCCAAGCGACCAAGACTGGTGAGGAGAATGGGGCCTGCTATTTTCACTGGCATGATTTACTCCAAGTGAACAAACGTACAACTCTCACGAAGAACGCTGCAAGGTCAAATTGTATATACCCTTTTACGTTTCACTAGGAGCAGCTAATAAAAGCGCACCTTAACCAAACGGTTCTAGAAACCACGTTAGCTCTTCACTTTGGGAGAAAAAGTATGAAATTCCTATAGAAGCAGCAGATCCTAGCAGAGACTCTAATATTTAGAAAATACGTTCCCGTATCTGTAAAAGCCCATGCCGTCCACTACTTGGGGAAAGCACTGACATCACTAAGGTTTCATCTGTAAGCAGACGATTAGGACTACGATTAGATAGTTAGATAATGGACCTTTCCCCCCTACGGAAAAAAATCCCCATTCACAGAGTGGACAGAATTTGTCCTCACCTTCTCTTTCTTCCGAGGATGACAGCTACACTCTCAATCAATGTGCTCACCAACCACCACATCTGGGATCTCTCCCTTTTTTACCGGTAATGGTTTGTTACAAAGTGGGCGCACTGGGGCCCGAACGTCCCAAAAATAATGATATAAAATCATATTCCAGATTCAGACAAAACTCACAAAAGGAAAAGGTATAGTGCATTGAAAATCAAATAGAGGACAAGCACGGATGTTCCGACTGTTCATTAGAAGACGGCGTTGTTACCACTGAGGATGAATAGTAAGGCTTCCCTACAGATTCAGGACAAAAAGTGGAATCCAGTAGAATTACACCTAACAGACTGTTAACCAGCTGTGGACACGACCCTGAGACGGTGAAAGGCAGCCAAAGAAAAGCTGGTGAAACGGATCTGGTCTCAGGGCAGCAGGGCCGTTCATCCAGCACCGCCCTGGCAGGTGGGGAGCCAGCCCGGACACCTCTGGAACAGAGAGAACGGAAGGGAACACTACCGTGAACAGCCTCCGGCTCCCTCCAACTGCCAACAGCCCGCCTGATCCTTTTGTGGCTTTCACCCGCAGGGAGATGCACGCGGCTGACTGGAGAGCACACAGCTAGGCTGAGCTCTCAGGTTCATTAACAGCCACCCAAGCAGACGGCAGGGGAGGGGCTCTATAGGGAAGAACCAAGCGCCCAGCAGATGCGCGTCCAGCAGTTAAAAACCTCAGAGCCAGGGCAGGAGCTAAGGAAACTAACCTCAGCAAGAAAACGGACGGACGTGACAACTGACATCCAAACGTGTCATCACAGCGTGAGGAGGCCTGCTGTCTGGGTCAAGCCGCAGGGTCGCCAGGAACACTCCCTCAGTTGACAACTCTGTGCCAAATAAGGCATTACTACTGATGTCTAGCCAGACTCTCCCTATCTAGGGACGTGGGGAGGTCAAGCCAACAAATCAACTGCATAGTTTGGCCTAGTCATCGGGGCCTGGTAAATAGAAGTCACCCTCCCCCGCCCCCCCAATGACCTAGAAAACACTGGAAGGTCAGACCCCAGCCAACACTAATGAAAGCATGTAATAATGCTCATAAGTCATTCACCTTTCTAACTACCACCTCAAGGAAGCAACATTCGGGCTATAGAGTTCACTAAAATAACCTCTGAATCGGGCACCTGAGCAGCTCAAGCGGGGGCACCTGATGGGTT